AGAGTTGCTAGGTTGCGTGTGGTTCTTCTCTCCTCCTACTGTCTGTTTTCTATTTGCCGTATGCGTTGGGACACTGTGTTGTTGGGACTTGCCGGCATTTGGGTGGGCTTCTCTGTTCCCTCTGGTTCTTCCAGGAGTCATCTGTTTAGTTTCAAGCAGCCTTTACTGGAGAAAGGTCCCTGTTCTAAAATGCCGATGTGGGGACACACTCCCCTGTGCGCCTGGTCTGCCCCGGCGGTGGTTCCTGCTCCCCTCTGGGCTTGGACTGCAGGCCAGAGGGGGTCTGGCGTGGGCGAACTTCCCCCGCTCACCTCTGGCTCCTGAGGAAGCCTTCTGCAGGTAGTCTTTACTGAAGAAATGTCCTGTTCTAAAATGGTGATGTGGGACACACTCCTGCGCTTCTGGTCTCAGGCACACTATTCTGCGCGCTGGTCTGCCCCGGCTGTGGGTGCTCGCTCTCCCTGTGGGCTCAGACTACTTGTTCAGAAGGGGCCCGGTGTGGGCTAACTCCCCAGCTGGCCACTAGCTCCTTCAGTAGCCTGTGCTGGGGTCAAGTCGCTAGGTGGCACCAGAGATCTCTCCCCTAGAGCCCTTGGGGAGCTGATTTTCCACCCAGTGGGACAGGGAGAGAGCGGGGATGGTAGGGTACACCTCAACGGCTTTGGGGTGCTGTGTCTGCTTTGTGCCCACCGTCGTGGGGAACCCACGCCCCTAATTTCGTGCCCCGGGTCTCATTCAAAGCCCTCAGTTCAGGACGCGGGCTGTAGCCAGATCAGTGGCGCGGGAATGGCGCCTTTTGAATCCGCTCCCTTGCTGGGGCCTTGTTCCTGCTCACTCAGGGAGGGCCTCCGCCCTGGTCTCAGTTCAAAGCCCTCAGTTCAGGACGCGGGCTGTAGCCCAGATCAGTGGCGGCGGGAAATGGGCGCCTTTTGAATCCCGCTCCCCCTGTGGGGCGCCTGTTTTCCTGCTCACTCAGGAGGGCCTCAGCCCGGGTCTCAGTTCCAACCCTCAGT